CCACGAACCCCTCATTTTATCTGTCAAACTTTCATAGCGAATCGAAACAAACATTGACTTCTCGACGCAAGATCTCACTAACACAACCTTGCTAGTGTATTCGTGTAAAATCGATTTGTTTATTATTTTCAACCACGAAATCAGCTGTCAAAGTGTTCGACTTGACAGTGGTTTGTTTTTTATTTTCAACCAGTAAAACGTATGTATTAATGAAATTGATCACTAATACTAACGGTGGTAGAGAACTCTATAGTGTAGTACTGGAATTTATGCTAGCATGGGGTACGTTAATCGATTTGCTAGGGACCAATAGGCTAGTCAAGTAGTGAGCCAATTTAAAATCGTTAGTTTCGTATTGATTGTTGCTTCTACCGCTTTCTCTGTGTCTTTATCGTTGTCCACTTTCAACGCACCTCCATTCACTACACCAGTGTACGTACTGGCACTGGTTTCTTCTTCGTTCTGTTGTTTGCTTGAGGCAGGAGTTCATCCGATGCCCCTCAATCTAACAAAAGAAACACAAGTTTTTGTGCTCTTGGTAGAATATGTTCCTCTTCTGATTGGTGAAATACAGGCAGTTGAGAATCTTCTTTTTTACGTCCATGTAAATTCCCCGTACACCTGTTAGCATATCGAGACGCAAGGCAGCTGGAAATCTCTCTCCCTAGTACCAATGCTAGAACGCTATCCGGAACTTTTGGTGGTAGGTTGTAAACTGTGACGCACTGAACGATGAACGATTTTCTACCGGTATAATGGATAATTCATTGTTCACGGTTCTTTAGCAAACAATGAAGCATCGAATACTCTGATTTGAACTTGATGAACATAGATTGTTCCTTCGCTATATGGTATGTAGCGATCATCTGAGTAGGATCCGCTGCCAGCGCTTTCACAAAGGTCGCTATTTCGTCCACTGACGGTTTTTTGCAGCTAGCTAGGAAGCTGAACGTAACAGTCAGTTTTATTTTCACCGACATTTCCAGTTGTTTGATACCAATACTAGCGAACGAACTTCACACAATAGGCAAGCACTGCAACAATAAAGACTGTACTCGAAAAAAAAATGCAACGAACCAAAATGATCACCAAAAATTCATTTTATGTCGGATATTTTTGAAACTTTCAACTAAACACCTATTAGCTATATTTTTGCAAAGTTGCTTTATTCAACTTTCTCTCCTAGGCTAAATTTCCGCACCTTGGACTTAACGCTACCCATCAAATCTTGTGCAACACTTGCGTCATCTTTCTTACACACTTTCATGCACTCTTTCTTCAAATCCTTGTCGTTTTTGAAGACCTTCCCTGTTTTCCGGAGCTTGCCCTCCATAATCGCCTAGAATTTTTATATTGTGTGCAGTTCTGATGACTTTGGCGGATTTGCTTCCTTGGGCACAAAAACAAAATCGTTGGGTTCGTACTACTCAATCACCGGTTTCGCGTAATGGCACGATGCCAGATCCGGCCAAAACAGAGTGTCACCTTCATGGGACCGGACGAAGGACAGCAGGCGCGTCTGGAGGCATTCTTATTTATATATTTGGTCGGTCGTTATGTACGACTGAATTTGCCGCACTCACAGATCGCGTGCCACACTAAGGACTTCATGGCAAATTTGTCGACCTTCTTCTTCCGAAACTTCTCCGGAACATTCAGGCGGGAATTGCCAACGAAAAACTCCAGGCCGGGGATCTGCTTGGCGTCTGCTCTAATGTACGTCTCATCATCCATTACGATGCATTTCGGCTGCACCGAAACCGAAGCACTTCTTGCTTGGAAGCCATCTCGATAAACACGTGACAAATTGAAACGAGACTTTGCACATGTAAACATTTCACTCTAAACTAGTTGTAAATTTCATCAATGTTTACCTATGCAATAAAAAGCTGTACACATATTTTTTCGACTACAATCTTTAGTTGCTATCCAATAACAGGATATCGCCTGATCCGGACCGAAAAAATCTAAGTCGACAGCAAATAGAGCACTGTTGAGCCCTAGATAACAAGGGGTCAATCGATTCAACACGTAGAACGATTAGCTATGTAACGATTTTGTTTATATCTTTTTTTATGATTTTTAGGAACCTCGAACAAAAAGTGCTGGTTTAAACGAGAAGTGTAGGACGAGAAGAGTAGGACAAATAAAAAAAAAGATCTGGGTGGCTCAAACAAACCAATTGAGGCCTACAGGAGAAAAAAAAATACGACAAACGTTGTACAGTAAGACAAAAGCTCTCGTTAGTTGAATTTATCAGGTAGCAATTTCCGCCTACAATTCAACTGTTATAATAGGTTGTAATAAATTATGATAATTTTCAATTTTTTTCCATTGTTCTACGCTCCAAAAACCCGATCTCCCTGGATTCTTCGAAAGATTCTATGCTAATTTCTAGGTCGTAAAAATGTGGGGATGCGCCACATTGAATAATTAATATAACTAACCGGTTGATCTCTTTTTAATGGTTAGCAGGGGGTGTGCTTCCGTCAGAGAACAACATTTGCACATCTAATTAAAAACATAGCCAAAGTTCTGGTTCTACGAGATTTGGGTTCTGTCTGTTTTAAAAGAAGCGTTGGAATTCTAAGACGTGATCCAATGCATGATTTGCATAGCAGATACAAAGATCAAATATCGATAGACTCTAATATTATATGCACCCTGAGTAGTTTGGTAACAATTCTTAACACAAATCGTTTCTTTGAATTATTTCAATAGATTTTTATACATCTTTGGGACATTTTTTGTTTCTGGACTAAAATTGCTTTTAATAATTTTATTAAATAATTTCATCAGTAGAGGTACTGGACGGGAGGAGATAAAATGACTCTATATTGTGTATACACTTCAAAATGATTCGTTACCAGTATTACAATAGGTAATTCACGAAATTAATAATATTTAAATTGAACGTGAATGATGATCCAGAATGAAGTGTTGCGGCTGTTGGTAAAATGTGATAAAACCATAGATTTAATCATTTATTTTTATTGTTACTGTATGCTTAAAATCTGTTTCTTGACCAAAAACCACGATACAGCTGTCATATATCTTTCCTAATTAAAAAAAGGTTGTTCAGATGTACAAATTGATAAATTTAAACATAGTTGATGAAATTGGCAATTCGTATCATATCGTTCAAGCATGTGATGATATTACTTCCATGGTTGTCCAATTCACTCCTCACTTTTTTTTTTACTTTTGTAGATTATTAGTTAGCAAAACAAAAATACTCATCATCTCTTCAAGGATGGTCATTGACATGCGGAAGAAGATGTTACAAAGTATAGCAAAGTCATTTAAAGCACTTTAAGATAAATGCTCATGTTCCTTAGCACGTGTTGATGCCCGCGATTTGCTACACCTCACCCTTAAATGAATACATCCTAGTCGGTACAGCTAACGCAGCAAACGGCTCGCAATTTCGTAGGTATCACTCAACAGCGTTTCGTGTTAAACTATTATTAGGGTATACGTCCCTAACCTCGGTCTAATATGCAGCCATAGATTACGTTTTTAATCATAACTCATCAATTAATTTACCTGCAAACGATATTCTACTGCTAAATGGTATGCTTAGATATGCTTATCATGTCGTTTGCTATCAGGAACCGCAAAAAGTTGAAAAACTTACTTTTTTTAAGACAAAAACTCACCAGGGAAATGTATGTAATATCGGTCTATTGTCCCCAAATTGGGTCTATTTATGGATGCAACTTCGTCCTATCCTGTTTGATTCTCAAAAAAAAACGCTCTTGGTAACGTTTTCTTATGTATTTTTTTTTATCACTATCACTGTTAACTTAATACTCTTCATTCCTCAAAACATTTCTTAGAGAAAATTTTACGAAAACTACATTAAATCACTCAAGTTAAAAATTAAAAATTAAAAATTTCGCTTATCGTCTTTCGACCGCAGAATATCTAAATCAAAACATTGTGATGTTCATTATACAGGTTTGGCAGAAAAAATCTCCCTTCCTGTTCGTTCCTTATCATCCAAATGCAAACCACATTGTTGACGTTACTCTTATTGCTATATGCTGTCAAATGAATTTCATGGGCCAAAGTTAGGAACATAGAAAAGAAATGTGTCCCTAAAGTTGGGTCCATGATTTACTTGTGAAAACGTTGTTAAACAATTAAAATAAACATAAAATATTCAAACAGTAACTGTGAGTTTTACGTCTAGTGTGTATTATCAGGTAATTCCATTCAATAAATGCCATAATCAGGCCATTTGATGATCGTCAGTGCAACCTTCCCATCTTAACCTTAGAAGTCATGGCGGCTAAAAACTCCGAACAGAGTGATATTCTCAACCAGTTTTATTACTTACGAGAGCTGAAAATGTATTGAAATGTTGTGATATAAATTGATTTGTGTGTGGTACACATTTATCAATCATCAGTGATCAATATTTTCCTTATTTTTTGTGTAATATTCCTTAATTAATTATTTATTTGCGTGATAGGCCGAATGAAAGGACTAGACCCACATTACATACCGTAACCCTATTACTATTTACCTTAACACCCGTCGTTTATTCGCTACCTGGGAGGGTAATTAAAGTAGTGCAAACAGGCGGAATCTTGATGCGGCGTCGCTAATCGCGTGAAAAACTTTTGATCGTAGCCGGATGCTCGTAGCGAGCGTTTGAACTACAAGTTGAAGAGTGCGCATTTTTTTATATACGTGTGAGAAATTCGCACTCTTCTGCTGCCATCGAAGTAGGCTGCTAACCAGTCGGTAACGATGGCAAAGATTATCAACGAGTGGCTAATATCTACTTGTAGGCGTTTTATCGGACGTCGTATCGTGGTCTGCTGAATCGAGAATGATTGATTGTGGGATTCTCAGAACATAATTTGTTAACGTTTTCCTAGAATGTACAAGCAACATATTGAATAAACGCTTACAATAACAGATAATTTAAAGCTAATTAGCCTATTCAACCCACTAAGTAATGGATTTTTTTTACAACCCTTACATTGCAGAACCCGCCTTAACGGTGTGCAAAAGGAAGGACCCAAACCTGGACAAATGCATTACCGACGTTGTGGAGCGGATACGGCCGAACATCGCCAGCGGCAATTATGGCTCGGACAAGCAACTTCCCACTCTGGAACCGGTGGTAATCGAGAAGATCCGCATCGATCGTGGACCGTCATTTTCGGCTAATTTTTCCAACCTGGTCATCGGTGGGGCGTCTCAGTTTATCATCAAGAAGCTCAAGTATGGTTTTTTAGATTTCGTTTTTTTTAAATTGATACATTTTTTTTAACTTTGCATCTCTATTTTAGGACCAATTTGGACAAAAAGCAAATCAACGTGAGTGTCATTCTTCCATCGTTGGATGTCAATGGAAAGTACTCGTTGAACATGAATATTCTGGTCTTGCGCATTTCCGGCAAGGGAGACCTCAAAGCTGTGCTGAGTAAGTTAAACATCGTTTGGTAATATTTAATTTAAATTATAGAAATCAGTGGGCATTATTAATGGAAGCTAGGTGCGGGAGTTTTTATACCAAAATTTGATAAATTTTGAATGTTGTGGCAGAAGAAGTATACCGCCCATAAAAGCATAACAATCCCATCTTTGTTTGATTTCCTATTTCAATGGGAATATGTTAACATGTTGTTGCATATATGAATATGTTAAATCAGAAATACTTCTTAAAAAACCTTAATGTAAAACACATTTCACTTATCAGTCAAGCTAATTAACGGTAACAGCTCTTCGTGCTCTTGTTACTAAAATAGAAAAATCCTTTGCGGCTAAGGAAATTCTACTAGCAACGTTTCTTGATATTGAAGGACCATTTGACGCAACATCCTTCACGTTTGGAAATGCTTTCCAAAAGCGAAATATCAGCAAATCTAGGAGATTCAGCAGTGAAAGAAACAGCTGAAAAGGCTGGCCTCAAGGAGGTGTTATTTGTCCCCTGCTGTGGTCGCAAAAGCAGTGCACTCAGGAAACATTTATGAATAATAACAAAAAAATATTTCATTTATGTTCGATTTAATTATAGTAATGATCACAATACTTACACCCCATTGATACAAAAAGAAACAGTCATGCTCGATTGGCTCCCGAAAGTGACAGGCCCAATTGGCTCCCGTTATTGTCTTCGCCAGACTATGAATATAGCGACTATAACTAACAGTGGTCGGAAGTGCGTTTATGGAATAAATCTGGCGTAACATTTGAAAAGGGACTATCAACTTTTGTTAGGTTTTTTTCTTCGCGCAAACTAAAGTACACCCACGCCAACCAGGAGCATTATCGGGAAGGGGTGTTATTGGTTTGCGTGGACGTACTTTTGTTCTCGCGAAAAGGGTTTTGTTTACGAAAGTTGATGAGCTCCTTTTCAAATGTTATGCGTGAAATTTTTCATTTGATGATATAATTGTTTGCAATGGGTGCAATCATTTTTAGCCCTAGAGATGGGGAAGGGTCCCGGCTTAGTGGTTAGTATCCATGCCTCTCACGCTGAAGCTCAACCTCGGACAGGTCACGAATGACCTAAAATGTATTGAAGTGACAATAATACAGAAAATATACCTAAAAATGGAAGACTAGTTCTATTGGAGATAGCTACAGCGTATCTCAAAATTGATCGTACACCCTAGACGATAATGTTTTGAAACATGGTGAATATATATATATATTTTTTCAATCGTGGGTGGTGATTGAACAGCTGTTTATTGATTTATTGCTATAGTTTTGGTTCTTATTGCAAGAGATTTATTTGAATAAAACGCTCGAATTTGAACTTTTTACCTAGTTGTCGAATTTTAGTAAAATTAGTGGCATATGAATCATCCTTACTACGACTAATTTCAAGAAGTTGTGATCATTTTGTTTCAAGAAAATAAGGTTTTTCAAGAAATTTGCGTTCTATTGCCTTTTTCTTAAATTGCTCTAACTTTTTGTAAAATCAACCAAATATGCCTAATACCAAGATAATACTTGATAAATGTATGCTGAGTCAGCTGTCAAAAATTCAGTGACGTATCTTTTTAACTTGTGCTTTAAGAGCCGTTTTAATACAGCGTACGATCAATTTTGAGATACACTGTATGTTGCCAATTCGACGACCCATTTCAAGATTGACTGCTCGTGCATTTTGAGGTCACTTTCATAAAAAAATATGTCCTGCGTGACTATATCCACATAGGGAAAATGGCTCTAATGTTGGCCTATGGATCTAAGATTGGGCCCATCGCTAAAAATCTGCTATTTATCAATTTTATCTAGATGAACTTCCCACTCTGGAATCATAAATATCCATTAGTACCGTCATTGGGACGGTACTAATGGATATTTATGGTTGCTATTGAAAATTTAGTCGATTGCTGAATTTATGTATGGACCCAAATTAGGTGCATTTGGGCCGACATTACATCCATTTCCCCTACTCCGCAAAATTTGCAAAAAATAAACAGCAACAAAAACCAAACATGTCGAATTTCTAGCGTAACCTACTTCGATCCAAACATTTGATTGCATACAAGCTATTTCAAAAGTACCCAAATTTGGGTAGAATCCATCCAGATCGGTCAAAACTGAACCTATCCAAAATGGGTACACTATGTTAGAAGTGACTATTTAACAAATAGACAATGGACGACCGACGTTGTTCATTTGTCAACATGTCAGTTCCAACATAGATTACCCAAGTTTAGGTAGGTTCAATTTTGACCGATCTGGGATTTACTAGCGCCGATACATCTGTGCGGATTTACTAGCGCTAGAGTACAAGCCAACTAGCACAAATTCCAGTTGCTCCCGAAATCTCATGGTGGTAGACGCTGATGACTTGTTTCCATTATGCTAGTGAGTTTTGTTGCTAGCAGCTGGCTCATTAGCGCTAGTGGAAAAGCATAAGTGTAAACACCCCATAAGAACGGTTGCTTTGAATTCCAATGTGTTGTCAATCAGGCTAATGTCTTGATGTTTTCTGCTGTCCATAGAAGTCGTTTCTACTCTACTCGATCCATGGCTACTAGATTTGATGCAAAATTTAAAATTATCGCTCCACAGTGCTCAAACGATTCCAAATTGAGTCCTGATTTGCCTCCCAATATTTGAACTCTTTTAGTAAGAAACTGATTTGGCACAAACCATTTGAAGTTTATATGGAAACCACTATGGGAAAACCATAATTTCGCTTCATATATACCTCAAGTTCACCAGTTCACTCTGCTTTAGAAAATGATAGCTGCGCTTGTTGAAAATTTACTCAGCTACAACTTTGTCAAATGTAAGAAACAGAAGTTATTAATGATTCAAGTCACTGATGTCTTATGATTATGCTCCATCAACTGTTCAGCAGGCAACATTGGTGTTTCTGGCCCGAAGAATAGATGAGGACAAACATCATGGCTACTACGTCACACTGCAGAATACAGTGTTGCCCACGATACAGTTGCTTAATCATGCCATAAGATTATCAATCTCTTAAATAATTAATAACTATGTAGTTTGACGCTTGGTTGGAAAACGATCTTCTGCAAAGTAGAAGCTGAGAAAATTTCCCATAAGAATAGTAATAGAACATGTTAACAGTATAATATGGAAAAAAAAGGCTAGAAGACAATGACCAAATAGTTTGGTTTTCCCATAGTAATTTCTATATGAACTTCAAATGGTTTGTGCCAAGCCAGTTTCTTATCAAATGAGTTTAAACTTTCGGAGGTTAATCAGGACCCGATTTGGAACCGTTTGAGCACTGTGGACCAAACATTTCAAATTTTGCATCAGTCTAATGGCCACACGTCGCCAACCTCGTAGGCTGCGAAGGGTGCGCAGGTCACCTGCGTCAGTACCGTAAACCACCATAATTCTGCGCACTGCCTAATTCCGCGCATTCGGAACAAACGGAGGATTTATGTACACGCTATTTCAAAACTACCCAAATTTAGGTAGAATTCATCAAAAGATCGGTCTAAACTGATATTACCAAAAAATGGGTAAACTATGTTGGGAGTCACAAGTTGACAAATGAACAAAGTCGATCGAATTCAGGTCGATGTTGTTCATTAGTCAACTAGTCACTCCCAACATAGTTTACCCATTTTTGTGTAGATTCAGTTTTGACCAATCTGGGTGGACTCTACCCATTGTGGTAGTTTTGAAATAGCGTGTAAATCAAATTCTAAATTGAACCTTAATTATTCGTTACGAGTTCCATACACGCTATTTGGAGGCTACTCAGTGACTGGGTAGATCGCACTCATTTTTGCATGCTGTATGGAGTTGTCAAAAAATAAGTAAACTGGTTTTGCTCCGATGAGTGGGAGCTACCCAGATTCAGGGTAAATGGTTCTAATATATTTTTTTTCCTAAGTTCAAAATGGCGCAATTTGAAGTTGTAAACAGGCGATTTTTGTGCAGTTAGTTTAAAATTAATTTTGGAGGTGAAGCAGTAGAAATGGTGCAGCTACGTAATGACCTGGTAGCGAAAGTTATCAGCAGCTAGTTGGTAAGGTACAAAACGCTAATACCCCGTTCACATTACAGCCTATATCACGTAATATAGACTGTCTTGCAATGAGCACTCATACATAGGATTTCCAGTGAAAACTAGATGTATGAGTGCTCATTGCAAGACAGCGTATATCACGGATCTAACATTGGGCCCATCGCTAAAAATCTGCTTATTTATAAATTTTATCTAGACGATCGTTTCTTTGGGACGGGTCTAATGGATATTTTTGGTCGCTATTGAAAATTTAGTATTGCCCAAATTAGGGGCATTTAGGCCGACATTACATCCATTTCCCCAATATAAAGCATTCATGGGACATTTATTTGTTTCTACCGAAATGGGTAAGGTTTACTCAGTTGACAAATGTCACAATCTGAGTAACCGTTACCCACTTTCCTCTATAGGCACGTTTACTCAAATGTGAGTAAAAGCATGTTTACTCATTTTTGAGTAACTTCCCTTTTGGCTGACTGAGTCATTTTCAACTCAAAAATGAGTAGCCTAAAAATAGCGTGTAGTCCTCTCAAGGCGGGTTCGCAGTGTTAGTGCACGGTAAGAAAAAATACTCAAAATTAAGTTAAAATAAACTCAACTCATGAGATGAATTTTTTTGTTAGTTGTGAGAAATTTTTGGTTTGCTGTAAGAATTGTCATTCGAAAGTAAAAATAAACAACAAAACGAAAACAAACCCTACACGGTAAGAAAAAAGTACCCAACGGCCAGTTCACTTTTACCTACTTTTGATTAGTTTGTCTCCTTTTCTCCTTCTTATGTTGTCAAAAACGGAGGAGCAAAACCACCCAACAGGGATAGTAAAGTGTGGGAATATTTACCTACTTTTGGGTACAACTAACTTACTATTGGGTAGAAAGCGAGTGGAAAATTCCTTACGAATTGCACACAAGTAAATGAAAACTACTTTGGCCCGCTTTACCTACTGTTGGGTTCCTGCACTATAGTGCCGAGATGAGTGAAAAGAACTTACTTTTGGGTACTTTTTTCTTACCGTGTACGTTTGCATGGTAAGAATAAAATACTCTTTTATGAGTAAAAGTTAACCCAGTTAAAAAAAAAAGTGGCTACGGGTATAATAAATTACTCATTAATTAGTAGTGCCACTTTGATTGAAGATGGGTTAACTTTTACTCATAAATAAATGTTTTATTCTTACCGTGTACATGACAGTATATGCTACACAGTAACCGCAAAATACCCACTAATGACTACAAAGTAAGCATTTTCGAGGGAAACTGGGACTACCCATTAAATGAGTAAAAGTTTACCCATTTATGAGTAATTACAACTACAAAAACGAGTAGTAAGTATTCATTTTTGAAAAACAAATACTCATAAATGGGTAATATTTTCACTCATTTAAAGGGTAGTCACAGTCTCCCTCGAAAATGCTTATTTTGTAGTCATTATTGGGTATTTTGCGGTTACCAAGTAGTGTGTGTTTTAATTGATATTATACACGGAGAAAAAACACATTCCAAAATTTGAGTTCTTTTAACTCACTTGCACTCTTTATTGTTGTCAAAAAAGGAACGAGAGTTTCGACCCAACTAAAAAGCTCAGCCCAATAAGTTACTTGTGAGTAAATTGCATGTTCTAAAATTTACGTGAGTTAAACTTAATTTTGGGTAGAAGAGTAGGTATTTTTTTTCTTGGTGTTAAATGGAAATTACTATATGCGATTTACTTAAATTTGGGTTATTGGGCTGAACCCCGGAATTGAGGGAAAAGTACTTAATTTTGGGCACTTTTTCATCTCCGTGTAGTATAGTGTTTGTGAGATCCGGCTTGGAGAACTCAATTGTTTATGGTTTTAAAATGAGTGCTGCATAAATCCTAAGAGAAGAGGTGACAATACGGGGGCGAAAATGACCCACTTTTCTGTTAAACGTTGGTTTTCCAAGTAACATTGCAAGTTTCATTGTGGTTTTAAAGCACTCTACAAGTCTAAATCATGGGCTACAGAACCCTCATAAAACTCAAATTGTTACTTGGGTGGGTTGCCTTTATTGAGGAGATTTTCAGCCAGACGCTGGTTCATCTCCGTTCATCTGTCAAACGTGAACCAGCTCCTGATTGAACGATTTCATGTGCGTAAGATAAAGATAGAGATAGAGATAGAAATAAAAGATGAAGAAGCCAATTGTCACCTCTTCCTCTTAGCATAAATCAATGATAAACATTTCGTTTTTTTTTATGCAAACTTATTTCAAATGCGCATTTTTACAGAAACTACTTTACTTCTGTGGCCTAGTGATTATGCTGTCCGAATATGGGATTCCATCCCAGTTTTAAATTTATTTACCAGTCAAATTTCTTTTTGACGTAATCACCTTCCGATCAAAATATTTTTCGATGTTACTTAAGTCACCCGATTTCTATGGAGATGCCGTTTGTCTTAAGTAACAGCGATGAGAAACCCGTGAAAAGTGTACGTTCGTCGTTTCGCTTTCTCATTATTAAAGTGAATAAATTGAACTGTTTGTTGCTATGATAATTTCGGTGGTCCTAAAATGATGAATAGACTGCACGTAAGGAGACGTGATTGATAATTATCCCGAATATCCTGGTAAATACATGTTACTTAACATTTGGCGGCCACCAAACGACGTATAATAACTTTTGACTCAAAAACAAGTATTTTTTAGCATGAGAGCTACCAATCTGCTTTGTATGATTAAAACCCTGCTTAATATGTTAAACATTGCTATCACTGTGAGATTATATGCGTTTAATTGGAAATAGGAATAACTTTTCGACCATCAAAACAAAACTTTATTTTTCTCGGATCGGTACGAATGTTACTTTCAACATAGTGAAAATTTGCTTGAATTGAATTGAAACATGCAGATTAATTGAATTACAATAGAATATTTTATCCGCGGAATTCGGACACTTTTTTTTTTGCTTGAGCCTAATTTCGTGGGTTGCATTACAAACTACCATCACGGCAAAATCATTCCGTACTTGCCTGAATAATTGTTGAAAGTGATATAAAAACGTTAGGGGATGTTCATGAGTCACGAATAATGCTTTTGCTTAGATTTTAGTTAAGTTTAAAAATTTTGCTGATTAGATGCCCTACACTCTTCTAAATTTTATGCGTAATTTATTTCCAGTCCTGAAATGAATTATTTATGTCTTAAGGATAAGACGGGCATAGTGAACACGTGGGGCTAGTTCAAAACTTCTATTTTTTCAAAACAAATTAATTGGTTGTAGGTTCAATATCAACATTGCAATGACCATATAAATAACAAGCGGGCGTTTAGACTCGGTGGGCGTTTGATACACTCCTATGTACCATATCTAAATGCCATTAATAATTTTCACAATTCACAATTACATACTCATCAACATGTACATCAATTACTGGCGACAACGCTCTGATGAGACAACGAAAACCCACCCCTAAGCTCCTCCCCTGATCCTATCCTTCGCCTATGTCCCCATCTAACCTCGAGTAAGCCGCGAGTATTCGGCCCAACTTCTACTAGACATAGAATTAACTGAATTTTGTTACAAACAAAGAGCAATGAGTTATCGGCTCCGTAAAGCTAACGCAATTGAGCTTTCTAAATAAACGAACTGAAAAAAAATGTACATCAATTAATCACCATTGTCTTCCTCTCGCTATTCTAGACGACACCAAGGCAATCCTGAAGTTGGAATATTATACCGAAAATGTCGATGGAAAGGATCTGGTTCGCTTCCGGCCGATCGATCTGAAGATCAAGTTCGACAAGGCTTCATTCTATCTGATGAATCTGTTCAACGGTGACCCGACCCTGGAAAAGGTTGGCAATGAGGCCATCAACGAGAACCCGATGGTGCTGCTGGACGAGGTGAAACCATCCTTCGAGGAGAATCTCTCCATCAAGTTCACCGAACTGGCGAACAGCCTGGTGAAGGACGCCGAGGTAAGCGAGATCTTCCCCGAGTAGAGTGAGAGGAAGCGGCGATGGAAGATGGAAGGCGTAAACGAGAGACGAGGACTGACCCGTCAACTGTGAAGCTTGTTCGCTTGCTCAGTGTTTGTGGTTGTTGTGTAGTATGATTAGGTTGTAAGATTACCCCCCCGTGCCTGGCTGGGCTTGGGGACTGTAATAAAACGTTTTATATTAGTAATGGCACGCCGACCGTCCGGTCGGGGTTTGTTTATTGGTATGAGAAAGCATCGCACGTGGCACGGTATGAGTAATTCCACACGTTTTGACGTCTCCGGTTGGCGTGACGGGACCCAGGTCGAACGCAAATATGACAATTTCAATTGATTTCCGCGAATCGAGGGGACTATTTCCATTCACACTTCAGAACAAACGAGCAAAGGGTCAGTAACGTAAATCACCTTAGATCCAATTGTAAGGCGATTGAATATGAGTAAAAGGAATTAATAGAATGTTCCACTTCAGTAGATTTAAACTTTTAAATTATTTTTAACTTTGCCTGAACTGTTGAGCAAATCTTAACAATCTGGATATCAAGATTATAGGTGTGGTTGCATGAATTGAATTAATTTATATGGGAAAAGGTTCTGATTCACGATTGCCCAATTTGATTTAATAATCATGTACCTTCATTCACACTACCAGAACTAATTAGAAGGAGTGTATTATCAGGATAAATATGTGATGCGCACGTTGTGCAAACGATGACGTATACTTTGCCGGTTGCAATTGAGGTGCTGACTGGTAGAGTGATCCAACTCCTACGTTGATTATTCATTATGCGTACATGCATTGAAAAATCAGTTATGGTTGCAGTAATCCTTGATTTGACGTGACACTTAAGGGTGTATACATTGGACTTCTATCATTCTGCTTGTTAGCGCCATAATTCTTGGCTTAACGATCTATTGCCGGCATGGTACAGCAACCTACACCCCCCGACGTAACGACGACGACGATGATAATAGATTGTATCAACCGTTGGCGATTGCTTACTACTACTGCCGACTGTCGACCCGGACAGAGGTCGCACCGACTCGTTAAAGATCAAGTAGGAGTCGATTGTCTTTGATGCTCACACTCGTTAGAATTAGATGCCCGTTGGCAATGATGATTGTCAAGTCGTGTGTTGATACATCTCAAGCCTCCTGATGTCTACAGTTGGTATAAATGAGACCGCGTTCTGATCGGTTAGGATTAGTTTTTGGTTTAGAATCTCGCTAGGTGGATAGTGCAACGCTCGCGAATATCAGCAGCAGGATGAAGTTCTACGTTGTTGGAGTTTTGGTGGTGTTACATTTTGGATGCAGCAGTGCACGATTAGGTTGGTTTACAGTGTTGAAAGTGTTAAAGGTTTTGTGATTTGCTTTCACGAAATCTGAAATAATTAAAAATATTAGAGGACACAATATGCCACAATGTGAAGCTGGTTGTGTAATTTCCGGTACATACAAGTACTAATGCAGTGTTGATGTATAGATTCAAGCGTTAGGGTGGATTATGTCAAAAGCAGCAGGGAGGCCCTATTTAAACCACGTTTTTTAAAGAAAGTTAATCGATATACAAATTAAAAAGTGATTTGGGTGTGACCGTTGGTGAATACTGTTTGTGCCCTCTATGAAATAAAGTTTCTTTTCCACTTATGTACAAAAGGCTCCTATTGCTCCCAATTCCCTTGATCTGGCAATAAACTTTGAATCCGGTTTGAAGGACCAAGGGACGAGGGTTGCAATTCTGACAAGTTGTTAATATTTATATGTATTCAAGAGCTGTCATAATCAGGCTTGCAATTGCTCATTACAGCTAAAATGTTATTTTTCGTTATAAGTTGTGACCATCTGAAAGCAAAATTGACAAATGTTATACGTCATATACAATCTTTACCACCTCTTCTTATCTTACAAATAAAAATTATCATTATAGTATCCCATTGTTTCATAATAACGAAAAATAGCATTTTAGCTGTAATGAGCAATTGCAAGCCTGGTCATAATATCCGGTTCGAGAAATGTTACCGCTGACGTGTCAGGTTCTGTCCGCATTCCCGAGGAAACCCAGTACATAGCTAGACGAAATATTTGAAGATCCATCTAGATTATTCAAGGTATTAAAATCCTAATTATCAATGCCATCGTGGATTCTGTGATGTTAAGGTTAGGATTAGAGATGAACAAAATAGTTCCTTTCACTTAACGATTCCGAGTCGTTCAGTTCACTGAAAAGAAGTAGTTCTTTGGAACCGTTCATTCGTTTTTTCGCAGGAAGGTGATATTTTTCAGGCAGTTTAAAAAAGCTGCTTGGAGTTTCTAACTAAAATTGGTTTCAAATGCTTAAATTTCGGTTGAATATAGTGTGTGTTTTATTTTTTTTTGGAAGAAAGAAACCTTCAAAAGGCCATTGTGCCACCGCTTGATGACTGGGCGCACAGTCGCGGTGACACGGTGTGTGGGATTTTTACCGCCCTACTGTGAACCCTACACGATTGCTTTTATTGACAATAATCGTATTGTCAATACATGCTATATTGACGTCAATACATCGAGATTGACAATATTTCTGAATTCACATCATCAATATTATTGTCAATAATTCCCCTTCGCGTCAATATATTGATGCGTGTGGGGTTTGCTTAAAACCTCCTTGGACGCCTTGTCCTTTTCCCCCGGAACCACTTGTCGTATTACTTCGGAGGGGGCCGTGCATTATGCACCTAACTTTACCTCAGCTAATTGGCGCTTCCAGTTCGCTGATCGTCTCTCCAATTTGTGAGCCATTTAGCTCCCAGCGTCGCGTTCTACTCGGCTAACCCCCGGTGGTGGATTCAGCATACTCTGACGGAGAGTTCTCCTGGCTTCGGCTTTCAGTTCGCACTTGTGTGAGCACATTACTACTTTCTAGTTGGTCTTCTCGCCATTTTCGCTGCAGCGCTGACATGATCTGCATTACTGCTCTGCTGACGGCGTTAAAGGTGCCTTCCTCTCAACACATTTCTTCGACGACATTCTCCCCGCTAAGGGCGAGCATACCCTCTCGCACAGCATCAAATCTAGGACATTCGAAGACCACGTGCTCTGGTGATTCTTCCACATTCCCACACTCCGGACAGAAAGGTGACGTTGTGTGTCCGAACCGATGCAGGTACTTCCTGAAGCAGCCATGACCAGACAAGAACTGCGTTAAGTGGAAGTTGACTTCTCCATGCTTCCTGTTCACCCAGGTCGAAAGAATCGGTATTAGCCTGTGTGTCCATCTACCGTTCTCCGGTGCATCCCACTCCTGCTACCACTTGGCCATCGACTCCGTTCTCAACGTTTTTCTTACTCCTCTGGTTTCTCTCCTCATATAGGACTCATAGTCCTCCGCCAAGGTGATACCGATTCAATGACGTTTATATAAGGTCTGGGCCAAGGGGCTTATTGGTGTTAGTGAAATGTGCAAATATTTAGTGGTGTTCGTATTTTATTGCAATGTTTATCTTTTTACACGAAACAGCTGTTGGCAGTGACGTATTTCTATCTGTTCTCAGTACGTTGGCAGTGACGTATTTCTATCTGTTCGCTGATGTTCAGCAATGTTTACAACATTTTTGCTTCTAACACCAGCAAGCTGCCTGTTGGCCCAGACCTTATATAAATGTCATTGATACCGATTGGGATCATACCGGCGATAACGCATACTGCCTCCATCGAAATGGTTCTGTACGCACTCACGACTCGCATGACCATGAGCCGGAACGTATTGTTAAATTTCCTTTGGTTCTGCTTCGTTTTCAGCGCTTCAATCCAGGCTGGACCTCCGTACCTTAGTATCTATGAGGACACGCTGGCCAGAAGACGCCTCTTGCTGCTGCTTGGACCAGAATTGTTCGGCTTGATTCTGGCTATTGCGTTGATGACCTTCGCCGCCTTCTCGCAGGCATATTCGATGTGGCTGTTTAGCCGGTCATCGATCATCACTCCCAGATACTCTCCAACGGTGATTTCTGCCCGCTGCACTGCTTTGCAGTTGCTGACCAACATCACTTCTATTTTGTGGTGGGCTATCTGCAGCTTCGCTCCTTGCATCCAGATCCAGTTACCAATTGTACATCCCATATCGCCTCGGCCGCCAGCATTTCCACTTCTTCCAGCGTCTCACCGGTTACCGCCAAGACGACATCGTCCGCAAAGCCAACGATCTCAACTCCTTTGGGCAGCTTGAGCGTCAGCACGCCATTGCACATTCCATTCCACAGCGTGGGACCTAGAATGGAGTCTTGTGGAACTCTCGCCGTGATTCTAAGCGATTTCTGCCCCGTGTCTGTCTCGTAGACCAGGACCCGGTTCTGGAAGTAACCACTTAGAATCCTGCAGAGGTAGTCTGGAACCCTCATTCTATGGAGCGCCTTGGCGATGACCTCCCAGCTGGCGCTATTGAATGCATTCTTTACATCAATTGTAATCACGGCGCAGTATCGATTTCCTCTCCGCTTCTGTTTGGAAGCTTTTTCGGCTCTGTCAATCACTGTCCGAATTGCATTCACCGTCGATCTCCCTTTCCGGAATCCGAACTGCCTCTCCGACAACCCGTGTTCACTCTCCGTGCATTTCGTCAGCCTGTTCAGGATGATCCTCTCCAAGAGCTTTCCGACAGTATCCAGCAAGCATATTGGCCTATATGATGCAGGATACCCCGGCGGTTTTCCGGGCTTCGGCAACAGCACAAGCTTTTGTACCTTCCACCTATCAGGGAACTGACCATCGTCCAGACATTTCTGCAGCACCATCCTGAACATGTCCGGGAACGTCTGGATCGCCGCCTTCAACGCCACGTTGGGAATTCCATCCGGGCCGGGAGCTTTCTTTGCCTTCAACCCTTCCGCTGCTGCTAGGAGTTCAACGTTGTCTCCATCTTCCTCGCCATATGGTGTAGGTGGCCAGGTCGTTGGGTCATGCTGTGGGAAAAGTCCCTCCACGATGACTTTCAGCTTGTTGGGACATATTTCAACCGGCATCGTTGGACCTCTGATCTTCGCCATCGCGACTCGGTATGCGTTGCCCCAGGGGTTGGCATCGGCATCGCGGCACAGCTCCTTGAAACTGTTTGACTTGCTCAGCTTTATCTTTCGTTTTAGTGCAGCCCTGGCCTCTCGGAACACCACCCTGTGCTCCTCTCTGTCTGCTTCCGTTCTTGCTCTCTGAACGCGCTTTCTGGCTAGAAGACAACTAGCACGTGTGTGTGTGTGTGTTCCCTCTAATGCCCACTGACCGGGAGTGTTAGCATGAAAGAACTATCTCAACAATGTCGCATTTATGGTCAATGTAGATAGCTTTAGTCCAGGAGTTAGAAGGTGATAGCTCATTGCAGATCCAGTAACCCATTTCAGCATGTCTGGAGAGTCACGCCCATGCCGAGGTTACTTTCACTCACATAAGCCCCGCATGTATGTATTACCTCTATCAATTGGATATTAGTAATACAGACATGCTGAAATGGGTTACTGGATCTGTAATAATTACATACACACTTCCAGGTTCGAAAATATTCTTTTCAAGCCTAGCGCGTATTTAGTTTAATTTTTATGTTTAATTTATAAATAATAATTGGCTCGGTTTCACCATGTTCCACTGATCTGCCGCCATTGATGGCTTCTTTTGGAATCCCTTGTACTTTTTCTCTAACGCTTCGTATTTCATTCCGCACTTCCTTCCGTAGATTGTCATTAGTTGGTTCTGACATGATTCCGCCTTATCCGGGATTTTCCTGTTTTCCGAGGGTGATAAATCCGCACTTATACCTGGTACCTGGTTCGATGTTGACTCTTCTTCGCTGGTTGGTGTGGTTGATCTCATGTCCACCTCATGTCCATCTGTTACTGTATTGCCATGGGCATCTGGCATAAGGTTCGCGTCTTAAGTATGAGATGGTGTAATATGCAAAGTGCGAAAATAGAATGAATGGAATATAAAAAGGATGAGTTTTATGAAACGATAGTTTCATCCAATTCCCCAACTAACCATACTCAAGCAAGTAAGTAAATACAAGCTGTATTGCGACTAAATGGTTACTTGGCTACATATTTATTTATTTTGTCAAGCAAAGTAGACTACATACAATGGTTACAATGTTTTACTTACATACTATGCATTATTTCTATAATGTTTTAGTTTGGTTTTAATTGCTTCTTTTAATATAGTGATGCTAATAACTTCACAGTGTAGATAATACTGTCGTATCATTCGATTGAAGGGGCCATTTTTTGCGTAATTTGTTCTGTGTGATTTTTCTGAGAATAATTTTCGTGTTCTTAGATGCCGACAGGGTGTGTAGAAGTTTAATTTTGAAAGTATTTCTGATGATTCTATGCGATGTGAAATAATGTCATTGATGAAGAAAAGCATTGCAAATTCGGCGTTCTTTGAGTGTTTGTAAGTTGATGAGCATATATGCTTCATATGATGGAAGAGGAAATGCGGTCCAATTCAATTTCCGAAGGACATATAAAAGGAACTGTTTTTGGACGGATTCTATGCGTGGCAATGTACGGATTCCATACCAGGTTACAGTATTCCAGAAAAGGTCTTACGTATGTAATATATAATAATTTGATAGTGTATGGGTCTTGAAAATTATAGCTGAACCTCTTAATGAAGCCCAACATACTATTTGCTTTCGTTATGATTGTATTATAATTTTCTACAAAAGTGAGTTTGGAGTCTAGGATCACACCTAGGTCCCTTACAGTTTTACATTTTTCTACTTTTTGGTTGCCTAAAAATATTTCAAAAAGAGGTGTTTCTACTTTTCTGCTAAATACAATTGCGTTGCGCGTTGCATTTTTTTTTTACATTAAGTTGGAGTAGATTTTTACTACACCAAGTGTTGAATAAGTTGATTTCATTCTGGAATTCTTCTGTGTCGCTAGAATTACTTATTTCCATGAAGAGCTTCATGCCGTCTGCATATATAAGAACTTTTATTTTTTTTTAAGTATGTAGGAAATGTCGTTTACGTATAAAATAAAAAGAATTGGGTGTAAATGAGAGTCCTGGGGCACCCCAGAGGTGACCGAAATAGGTTCTAAAAGTTTATTATGAAAACGAACTATTTGTTTGCGTTGCGTTTAGTATGATTGGAGTCAATTCAGAAGTCCACATTCCATTCCTATTTTTTGCAATTTAAAGAGTAATAATGGTATGTCGATTCGGTCAAATGCTTTACTGAAGTCAGTATAAAGAGCTTCCACTTGCCATTGCCATTGCGTTAAGAATGAAGGTTACAAATTCAAGAAGATTAGAGGTAGCTGAATGACCTTTAAAAAAGCCGTGCTGTTTGTTTGTAATTTGATTTTTTACTTGCTGAAGAATTTTGTCGTTTACGATTGATTCAAAAAGTTTTGGGATGCAAGAGATAATGGCAATTCCACGATAATAACGGATGTCAGATTTCTTGCCTGATTTGAAAATAGGCACCAAATGAGACGATTTCCAAATTTCAGGGAATTTCCCATTTTTCAGAGACATATTGAAAAGGCGTTCTAAAGGAAGGGTAAGTTTTTCTGAAAGATTCTTCAAGAATACAGGTGTAATTCTGCCAGGTCCTGGTCCATTAGATGCGTCCAAATTTTTTAGTGCATTGAGGACTTCATTTTGACATATTTGATTGACAGATATGTTGTTAGAGACTTCGGGAATGAATGCAAAGAAGTCGCGGTCTTTTTCAGAAAATGTTGTGTATACTTCCTGAAAGAAATTTGCAAAGAGATTGCAGATTTCAGAAGGATTTTCACCTTCATTTCCATCAAAATGCATTCGTGACGGAAAATTATTACTTTTCAATTTCGTTTTTACATAATTGAAAAAGTTCGTAGGATATGATTTGACTTCATTTTCGACTTTACGATTATATTCTTCATGTGCAGTGTTAATGGCTGTGTTGAGTTGGTTGCATATGTTATGATAGTGTTGTAAATTTGTGCTAGTGCTTTCCTTTTTGTATAATTTGTGTGCTTTCTGCTTTTTGTTCTTCAAATGTTTTAGTTGTGGATTGAACCACACTGGAAGGTTGTTGTTTTGTGTTCGCCTTCTTCTTTTTATTGGTACGGTTTCGGTTTCTACTCATATGGCCGTCAGAATGCACAGTTCGAAAAAGTAGTGTAAATTTCTGATTAGTATGATACACATAAATGGAGCGTCACATAGCATATAAGTTTACATTATACATCATGTAAAGCTCTGAGACATTTCATGCAATGTAGCAAATATTGTATACAAAAGCCCATTGTTGTAAACAACATTGTCTACAAGTTGCTCGGTTGCGTGAAATGAAATACAAGTTTACGTGAATGAATGTTTACATCACTATTAAAATACAGAATTTTTATCTGTGTGGTTCATCGGTTGCGAAGTGAAGCGTTATATCTCTCAATGTTTTGATATTATCCTAACGTTACCTCAATGTTATATCACAGACAAACAGACACAACACATTGAATATTTATCATTGTAAACCCTATCGCTAACGGCGCCGGTGGTGTAGTGGTAAGCGTGATTACCTCTCACCCCAGCAGGCCTGGGTTCAATCCCAGTCGGCGCCGCCGGGATGTTCTGAGGCATAACATCTCTGATCACGCCTTCCTTCGGATGGGAAGTAAAGCCGTTGGTCCCCGGTTCATGAGTTGATGGGTCGATAGGTAGGGTCCAGGTGTGGGAGCTGCCTTCCTGGCACGTCGGTAGCATTGGAAAACAAGATCGACGGAAAAAACAAACCAAAGGAAAAAAAAAACCCTATCGCTATATGTCGTACACACTATGATGGGCAATACACTCAACAGATGGCTGTAGTGTGTATACGTCAAACGCCACAAGTGACAGTACTATCAACTAAGATACATTCAAATTGACCGTTAAAAGCGATTTCAACGAACATCTTTAGCATTTTATGTCTGCTTGTCTGTGATCATACCTTCACTATCGCAACTCCGGGTAATCCGCGAAAGTACTTACATTTTTCTCAGGCTCTTTTGATCTAACTGCAATCACTCTATCATACTCGAAATGTGCCACGACCAAATTGGTACAACGACGCCCTATACGCAGGGACGAAGTTTTAAAATCGTAATTTTGTTGTTATTCTTATCTCGAAGGTATTTCCTCTCGAAGAATGATGTGAGTCTGCTAGTCCATGAGCCCCCTCCAGAAAATTTTTCTAGTTACACCAATGCTCGTTAGAAGGGATGTTAGTTTTTATTTCTTGTAAATTGGGTGTGAAATTGAGCATTAGGGTGTCCCAAAATTGCACTGATGTTTTTTTTTTGTACATCACTGCATTCAATCATCAAAAGTGGGTGTCAAACATAGCGCTATTGTCAATGAGCATGCAACAAAAAGATGGGAAATTGTATGCGCAAAAACTTTGCCGAACCTCATTTTGAGCCGTTAAAAAGTTATTCGTGATTTACTGTGGAAAGAAAAGTTCAGAATTTCAATACTTGGAGTATGTCCACCAGCAAATCAAACTATCATTGGAATCGTTCATTACAAATCACCTACTTTGTTGCAAATCACTTGATAACATTTGTATCGAAGTTTATAGAATTCAATAGGAGGATATATAAGCGGAGAGCTAGCAGAACCAAAAAAGAAAATCATGTCACCAAAAACCAAGCTAAAGTCGGATCTCATCACCGGTATTGCGAGGAAGCATTTACCCAGAAACCGTTTGTCGTTGGAGTTGGCCGTCATCAGGTATTTTCGATTCAAGCATGACACACAACAACTTTCAATCGGAAAAAGCATTCAAGTTGTGGCTACCGAAGCTGCTTGTATATCAATGGTGCACTGCTTGAGAAGCTTTTCGGAAACTCAACCGGAACATTGTTTGTCACCTGCTGGCTCCAGAATTCTGCCAAACAGTATCGTTTCGTAGCTCTTCATCGATGTGGTTCAGGTTTATGTTGAAGAAGTAACTCAACCGCATCCTACACATCTTCAAAGCTGGCAATAGCTCTTTTTTTTCTTCTTGAAGGCCTTACTTTGGCGTTGCCATGTCACAACGAGCTTGGCAACCCTTCTAACAACTTTCCGCTTGAGCTGGTGTGAAAGTCCGGCTTGATTCCAAATCTTCCCAGCTTCGGTAGCCACAACTTGAATGCTTTGTCCGATTGAAAGTTGTTGGGTTTCATGCTTGAATCGAAAGTACCTGATGATGTCCAACTCCAACGACAAACGGTTTCTGGGCAAATGCATCCTCGCAATACCGGTGATGAGATCCGACTTGTGCTTGGTTTTTGGTGACATGATTTTCTTTTTTGGTTCTGCTTGCTACGGCAATCAAATGGAAACTAATAAATTTTGTGATCCCTCTCCGCTCATATATCCTCCTAAATTGCATTCTAGAAACTTCGAAACAAATGTTATCAAGTGATTTGCAACATAGTAGATGACTTGTATTGGACGATTTCAATAATAGTTTGGTGGACATACTGCAAGTATTGAAATTCTGAACTTTTCTTTCCACAATAAATCACGAATAACTTTTTAACGGCTCAAAATGAGGTTAAAATTTCTGGGGCAAAGTTTTTGTCCATAAAATTTCCCATCTTTCTGTTGCATTTGATTGATAATAACGCTATGTTTGATACCCACTTTTGATGATTGAATGCAGTGATGTACCAAAAAAAAACATCGTTTTAGAGAATTTGAAAAATTGTAACTAACAAATTGGACACAGAAAATGCCGTAGCAATTTTTTCTCTCATAGTTTTGACCCTTGGGAATCTGCGAAAAATATAAAAGGGTAGGGTTTCACTGAAATTTAAAGAACTAAAAATATTTATTCGATAATAGCTATGAAAAATGTCTTTTTTCAAAAATCTCGTCGGGGCGACCTCTAAACAACATTTGCCAGAGTTGCCGCCATACAAAAGTTTGTTTGTAACACCCTTAGGTATCATTTGGAGGGTGAGCCCCCAGATTGCCAGACATAGTGCAATTTTGGGACACCCTATTGAGCATGCACTCTGAAAGTGATTATATACGATGTTTATAAAACCACTACACTGAATATCAATCTCAACCGTACAACCGCACATTTAATCCATCCTACAGCCCCCATTTTGACGGCTTGCTCCCGCAATGATCCCAAATTCGAGCGCTGCGTCAAGGGAGCGGTGGAACGGATACGGTCCAACATTGCCGACGGAAACTATGGCGAAGGGCAACCCACCGCACCATTGCTCGAGCCGATCTACATCGAAAAGATGAGCATTGACCACGGGCCGGGATTCCGGGCAAAGCTTCTGAATGTAACGATCAAGGGCGCCGGCAATTTTGTAGTTCGTCGAGTCAAGTAAGTATGCAGCGTAACAGCGTAATATTGAGATTGATTAAACCGATTACGAAAATATTCATTTTCACTTCAATGCAGGCTAAATCTGGATGAGAAAATGTTCAACGTAAGCGTGAAGCTTCCCAACATGCTCGTCAATGGACAATATACTTTGGACATGAAGGTGCTAGTGTTACGCATCTCCGGACAGGGCGATTTTGATCTGAATCTCGGTGAGTGCATTACGCAATCACATGTAACCAGTGTTATGCCGGGAACAGTTAGCATCGTGTGATTTTTCCAGACAATACAATTGCCAACATGAGATTGAAATACTATCTGAAGCCGGGGTCAGACGGGAAGGAGTATGTTCAGTTTCATCCGATTCAGGTCAAGCTCCGGTTCGATAAGGGTAAGTTTAACTTGCAAAACCTGTTTAATGGCGATCCCGCGCTCGGAAAGATTGGAAACAGTGCAATCAACGAAGATCCGCACGTGCTGCTGGATGAGGTGAAACCGGCATTCGAGGAGAGCTTGAGCAGAATATTCACCGCCATGGCGAACAGCGCGGTGAGTGGGGCGACTGAGATGGATATTCTTCCTCTGTGATATTTATTAGTGTGTGGTTAGGTTTTGTTTAATATTTTGTAGTAAAATTGGTGTGATAAACATAAGTTGCTTTTGATAATCAGAAAGAATATTCCACAAATGGTTAGCTAGGGAAAATGTCTGTAATGTTGGCCCATGGATCTAATATTGGGCCCATCGCTAAAAATCTGCTATTTATCAATTTTTTCTAGATGAACGCGTTATTGGGACGTTACTAATGGATATTTTTGGTTGCTATTGAAAATTTAGTCGATTGCTGAATTTATGTATGGGCCCAAATTAGGGACACTTAGGCCGACATTACCTGCATTTCCCCTATATTTTTTCTAGTATATTTTACTAGTGGTACATCATGAATTTAGAGGGGCTTTGGGTAGCCTAGTCGGCAAAAGCACGGTATTATTAAGCCGGAGTTGGAAATTTTCTCCATTACCCTTGTTTAGTTGGAAATTGTCTAGACTTCCCTGGGCAAAGAGTATCACCACCGACGAACCGACGTGACAGTTCATACAAGCTACTTTCAAATTCGTGCCATATTTAAAATACGTTAAATACTACCGACATCTACTGATCTGATCACGTCATCACAGAACAGATAGGTAACATGGGAATCAAAAACGGAGCCATTTAAATTTCAATTGGTAGTGACACCTAGCGGTGGAGAGCACGCTTTTTACACTCAAAATGTATTTACACTTATATCACCTTTTACCATTTATACCAGCTTTACTGGTATGTACAATTCAAACATACCCAAGATTTATATATTGAAAGGTGTGTACACTTCTGTTGGCGCTTATGTATAGAGTGTCTGTAGGCAACATCTTATTCACAGACTTCATCAATGCTTCCTGCAAAAGCAAAGGGTGAGTAACATGCTAATTGTGGAGTGAGACGATCACATCAAACAAAAACTGTATTTTTTTTCTGCTAATTCTAGTACGATTATCATAATTCCATACTTTAGGATATTCAAAAACACATTTGGAATAAAACATATTCAAAGATTAACGATAGATTAATTTATCAAGATTATCATTAGCGGGTATTTAAGATTATCATTAGCGGGTATTTATTTGCATCATGTTCCAATGCATTGTTCTGCAAAAAATTAACACTCTGAGTCTGTGCTCTAAGATTTCATTAACTCCCCTGGCGATGAAAAGGAAAGAAGCGCCGAGGCCGACATACCCCCTAATTAAATCCAATGTTTCATTCATCCTGAATTCTCAAAACAATATTCAATCCACATGCAGATCGCTTTACCTGTAGGATTTGAACATATCTTGGGTTGTCAGAAGATATGTCGAAGGAATGCACTATGGGCAAAAATGGGTTCAAAATTACCCAAAATTCAATATCTCAACAGCACGCTGAATTCCGGCCATGAAAAATGACTTTTCCGAAGGAAAATCGTCCGGGGAATCGATTGCACGTGGTCCCATAGAGAGCCTTGTGGGTATGTGTTTTGGACCATTTTACCCCATTTTGCCCTACTTTTTTAGGAAATGTTTTTTCACAGCTGTATTTTTCGTAAAACATAAGCACTTTATGCATGGTTTTAGAATACTATGTCTTTAAACAACAGTTCATGAGATATTAGAGGAATACGGGGTACACTTTATAGGGGAGTAAGGGGTTAAAGTGAACCCTCGCTAAATTTATTTTAATTCATACAAATGTTGAACGATGCGATTGTTTGAATGACCCCAAAGGTTGCCTGCAATAATAAGATTGTTTTTTCGAAATTTTAAGGTTAATTGGGGTTAAATAAGTTTTAATTTACTGCTATCTGTTTGAAAAGAGTTTTCACTTTTTTTGTCACTATACAGAAAAACGATATAGTGGTTCTCAGAATTTTGTAAAAATTGGTAGTTTTGTTCCTTATCGCAATATATTAGACCCTTATTTTATATGTTGTCATTAAAGTGACTATTTATATATTAGGGCGGTCAAAAAAAAAATTTCGATATTTTCAAAAATTTCGATATTTTCAAAAATTTATAACTTTTGAACTGTTTGGCCGATGACGGAACTCAAAATACCAAATGAAAGTTAATTAAGAGTATTTTTCAGTAAAAAATATGATAATATTAAAAAAAAATGTGTTTTGTATTAAAAATATTGATTGTATTTATTTTTTATGGTTTCACTTTAACCCCTTACTCCCCTATAAAGTGTACCCCGTATTTCCCTAATATCTCATGAACTGTTGTTTAACGACATAGTATTCTAAAACCATGCATAAAGTGCTTATGTTTTACGAAAAATACAGCTGTGAAAAAACATTTCCTCCAAAAAGTAGGGCAAAATGGGGTAAAATGGTCCAAAACACATACCTACAAGGCTCTCCGGTCTATGGGACCACGTGCAATCGATTTCCCGGACGATTTTCCTTCGGAAAAGTCATTTTTCATGGCCGAAATTCAGCGTGCTCTTGAGATATTGAATTTTGGGTAATTTTGAACCCATTTTTGCCCATAGTGGAATGGCAGGGAAACTCTCTTTACTCCAATGACATTTCTCATGGCCGTGTGCGTTTGTGTTAAAAAGCAAAACATTTTCCTTCTTTCACTTTTCATGCGTAAAAACCGTCGTCCAGAAAAAGCGAAATGATAATGCATTTCGTCATATAAAAAAATCGTTCCATTGTTTACGATTTATGAGAGGGAAAGCGAATACGAGCTTATCTGTCATGTAGCATATACTTGGCGTCTCTTTTGTTCTTTCAGTCCTCCTGGTAGCAGTTAGTGGGACACCACACTCGACATAGGAATTGGCGTTGACGAGAGCTCTGTAACTCTTTACTCCTATCATGAAAAGCAAATTAGTGGCGCCTTGTTGCCAGTTTTCCCAGACTTTGCGATACGTTGCATGTGTGATAATAATTTTTGCATTCCTTTGTTTAATGCCTTTGATGTTTTGATCGAATAATTCAATGAAACAATTAAATAAATGTAACATTTGTATGCTCATCAGTACAGGGTGCGTGACGAATTTTTGCAGTAAATGGCATATTTGAGAAAAAATACACCAGTTAGTTATTCTAGCAATGAATTTTGTGCGATTTATTTTCTTTCGCAACATATGGAAGTTGTAAGTAAATTTATTCAAAAAAATTGCCTTCCCTTTCGACGACTGTAGTTAGACGCTTCCGGAAACTGCAGTATGCACGTTTTAAAATGTTTCGATCCATAGATGTCATCACTGCCTTGATTTTAGCTTTTAGCGACTTAAGTGTGGTGTGAGGGGTTCTATTGGTATCCCGTTGGACGACGCCCTATACAAAATAATCCAACAGATTGATATCGGGACTGCTTGGGGGCCAAATTTCTTCCTCCCAAATTTACGAAATATTTTCCGTAAGCCATTTCTGTACTTTATTAGCAGTATGAGCAGGTGCTTCGTCTTATCACTTTCCCAAGCCTTTTTTAATATTATACACTGTTCTTTCAGACACATTTATCGACCGAATTATTTCTTTCATGCATACTCCGGCGCGCAACAAACCGACAACGGCTGACAGATTGCTCTCTTGTTTCGACATCTTTACGTTTACTCAACATTGTTTGTTTAAATCTTACACCTAACAGTATAAGCTATCCAGTGCTGCCAAATATATCTAAATCATGATGCACAAGCATGAGAAATTACTATTTGAAATTTACTGCAAAAATTCGTCACGCACCCTTTACATAGTGGCTTTAGCAGTTTTTAATCCAAGGTTAGTTGTGTACTAGGATTTAATATTTTTCTTTCAATCTGGCATTGCTGGTACTGGTATAATTGACAACAAGAATCGTACAGTACTATCAACAATCAATACGAAACTAACGATTTTAAATTGGCTCACTACTTGACTAGCCTATTGGTCCCAAGCGAACGATTAACGTACCCCATTCTAGTCAAAATTCTACTACTACGCAATGTTTGTTTTGATACGTTATGAAAGTTTGACAGATAGAATGAGGGGTTAGTGGATTTCCTATGTTTTGAGGGGTGAATCGATTAGCTTGGGACTGAAGAGAGTACCAGACCTGAGCCAAAAAGTTGAGCACGTTATTTCAGGACCTTCTAGTCTTAGAGTTACATCTATGGTACTATCCTAATATTTTATCATGTGAATTACCGTTTTATTAAAGTACGTTAAATTTATTTTACTAAAGATTGCTAGTATTGAAAAGCCAAACGCAACAGATTATAATTATGTTATGCATGCACAACTTATTTGACACATGATCTTTATTAGCATATTTGTATAGCTTTAGCTTATTGGTGAATTTATGAATTTAATGAATAAACATCAGTAGAAATTCATCAAAAAAATATTTGAAATTATATATTGCACACAAGAGGGTGTCAATGCAGTCAGATTTTAGTTTTGTTTTAATAGTTAATTATTTTTTAAACACACAATTTTAAGTTCCGTTCCTTATCAAATTCACATTTTAGCGAGGAAATTAGTTTTAAGCATGTATTCATCAATAATATAATTACAACTGTTGAAGAGATGGACCATTGACTTTGGGCCAAAAAATTACATTTGACCATAAATCTCAAAATAAGTAAATGCAATGTAACTATTAGGAGTTCATTTGGAAATGATCTCGTAATGTCAATCGTATACATGAATAAGGATCACGTTTAATCCATGTCTATCCACATAAAAGTGTGTTAAAATATGTGATTACCAATGGACAATTTTAAACAACGCTTTTTTAAGGTAGTATGGCACTTAACTTTTGAACACTATTTAAACAAAACTTTACCCCAGGAGTGCAAGCAACATGATTTAGTCATCCATTTTCCCAAAGCATCTGTGGTTTAGGGTTACTAAGCCTCTCATCTCGGTTGTTCGGGGTTCAATCCCAATGTTCTCGGTTACTTTTGGTTTGATTAAAGTTAGTAATGCATCCGGTTTTGTCACATATCAAGTTTCTTTTATATCACTGGAACCAAATGAAGTTTTTGGATTGTTTTATAGTGGCACCGTGATTGCCTCTCACCTCAAAAAGCCTGGGTTCAATCCCAGTCGACGCCGCCGGATTTTCTGAGGCATAAAATCCCTGATCACGCCTTCCTTCGGAAAGGAAGTAAAGCTGTTGGTCCCCGGTCCATGAGTTGATGGGTCGGAATCAACGGAAAACAAATCAAAGGAAAAAAAAGTGTCTTATAATTAAGTGAAATTATCTCATAAATTCATAAAAATATAATCTGAAAAATGTTTTCCATGAAAATTTTCACGATGGAGAAAAATTGCAAAGAAAAACCAAAAGAACCATTTTCTAAGTAATCACATTTTTTCAATATTTTTTCGACGGATGCCAGGTTTTAACCCCAGTTGTCATCTAATTGGCGCTATCCTGAATTTCAGATTTTTTCATTCATTATATTATTGATTTCGTTACAATATTAGAGCACAAAACTGGAGCATTAGTTTTAAACTGGCACACTTACCCTACTTGAAGATTTCTTATCGTTCACTGGTGAAAACTTCAGAATGGATTCCCTTACCTTTTTTGTGTTAAGATCAAAAATCTAACTAATTGAAAATTTGAATATAAATCATTATTTTTACAATGCAAAGGCAAAATTGCAAAGCAAGTGAAGAATATAAAAATTAGTCAAATTGTGGGCAAAGTTTCTAAAAAATTCTGAGACTCCTCTTTGGCACAAACCTGCAGACAGATCTTTTGAACCATATCATTTTTTTCCGCGCACGGACTTTAAACTTTTACGTTGCGTTTTCGTTGTTGTGTAGTTGAATTGAACAAAAAAAAATACACCAATTGGGTTCTTTAAGGGTATTGAGGTAAATGCATATTCTTAATCTGCATTAAAAATGGAACCCAAACCCAAAATTTCATCAATTTTGGTACATTGGAACTATTTTAAATAAGTACGATTACATTAGCAAAAATCACCTTATTAGCGCTGTGCTCAGAGAACGAAGCTCTTTCGGATGATGTATAAAAAACAATACATTTTTCAAAATTAAAGAACCCAATTGCTTGACCATGAATGGTTAAATGGCGGAGGCATCGAACCTTATTATTATCAGACAGAGTCAGAACAGCAAGTAGCATAGTTGTACATACATACATAGTTGTTACATAAACAAATTTGCAATCACCATATTTAAAAACGAGACATTTCACCAACATCCCATCAAATATGTTTATAATTGGTTCAAACAAATTGTAATACTAATTAGTGATTTTATGCAAAGCAATGTAATACCCCATTCACGTATTCAAACAAAACCGCTGGAATTACATCAATAATGATTGGCCAAGCATTGAAAAATAGAAAATGTAATTATTGCATGTTCAAACAGTTAGGAGCGTACTGTAAGCAAAATGTTTTAACGGTTATTATACCAATTTATACAAGATTTAAAATCATCATGTGCACTGCGAAATGAAAATAGAAAGGAATAGCAAAAATTACAAGGAAAGCATGAACTCAGTTTCAGATGAAACCGTTTGCTCTGAGTTACCTATCTGTTCTGTGACGTCATGCAATTATCAAGTACACAAACCCACGTATAATTTATATTGTCTTGGTTTGCGTCTCACCTCGTTTGACAGATCTGATCACCCGTTTGAAAGTTCGAATCGCTCGTTTGACAATTCGAATTGCGGACAAACGAAATGCTCTCTGAGTTAACGCTCACGAATCATAAATCGCTGATTGTAGCGCTCTTAAATCGAAAATTACATATTTTATGAGTCAAACGCATACTTTTTAGCATCATCTTATAACCTACAAGTACTAATTATCATTACAACATCTTATAATTTCATAATTCCGAAAACATGTTTCTAAAGCAAGTGAGTGTAAGCAACCCTGAGTGCAGAAAGTAAATTTAATCATTATATTCTACTATCAAAGTTACCCGCATTATCAAAGATACCTTTTTTTTAAGAGGCATGTAGTTTCTTGGGGAAGTTTGTTAGAATGTTGAACGCTATCTTTTGCCATACCTTAAGGTAGAAGATAGCGCTCAACATTTTACAAAATTCCCCAGGAAACTACATGGCTCACCAAATCAAGTTTTCTCACACAAATCTCGAACGATCATGGTTCTGCATATTTAGACCGTTGTGTAGTAAATATCTAGTTGAAGTTGTTCACATTTTTTTCATCCATCCATACTTAAATTACCAATAAGCAATGTTTGTAAGCTACTTGTTTTATTAATTGCCTCCCAGTAGAAATAAATCACCATTGCTGCCAGTTTGCACTGTATGTCACATTATCCACTCGCGTTAATTGATACGAATTGATTAAATCTCAAACAACTTAGCACACAATGCACTACAAAATTAAACAATTTAATGCGCATGCATAATTCATCGGAACGCTACTCCCCCGAGTAGGGGAAATAGCTCTCTAATGTTGGCCTATGGATCTAAGATTGGGACCATCGCTAAAAATCTGCTATCTATCAATTTTATCTAGATGAACGCGTCATTGGGACGGTACTAATGGATATTTTTGGTCGCTATTGAAAATTTAGTCGATTTCTGAATGTATATATGGGCCCAAATTAGGGGCATTTAGGCCGACATTACATCCATTTCCCCTACATGTCCGTTCCGTACTCTCCCATCGTAAACATTTTCCATTATAGCACAACAGTTTGCAACTGAGGCCGACCGTTCATAAGTAAGCAGCAGAGTGGCGCAGTGGAAGCGTGCTGGGCTCATAACCCAGAGGTCCGTAGATCAAAACTACGCTATGCTAATTTCGGTTTAGTTTTTTTTTATTGCTTGCTAATTTAGAATTACTTTCAATTATCCCAGCAAAATCCGCTCGTCGTGACTTGAACTCATCCCCACGGGGCAACTGTGTAGATAATAGAAAAGTAAATCGTCTTCAATCTCGGTATGGTAATAGATTCGTGATTACTTTGGTTGGGGTTGATCGTGCTCTCCCATTTCAACACTTAATTTTTCATCAACCCTCCTCATACACACTGGGCGAGAATGTTCAATAAAGTTATTAACATTGCCGTCGGGGGGTTGGGAGATTTGAGCGAAATAATTTCGAAAGGCTTTTAATTGATGACAGTCTATTATGCACATGCAAGCTTCTTCTATTTTAATAGTATTCTATCAGCGATCCAAGATTCGTTGATAATCAGAGGAATAGGCTGACTACAGGAGCACTGTATAAAATCGATGCGTTGAAGCAATTCCGGTTGCAATGATTGTGCGGAAGCTGTTAGTGAATGAACGTTCTTCCAGCTCAGTCTGCAGTCAGTCGAGGTTCGAAATGAAACAGTTAGCAATACATTTTCTAGTGATTCTGAGCTTTCACTACGGAAAGTCTTACGTGGGTACGTGCGCGGAAGTGATAGTGATTAGATAAATTATTAAGTCACCTCTGAATCTCTTGTAGCGCCTGTGTTGAGTGTCTGTTCGAGGAATGATCCGAATTTGGAAAAGTGCATAATCGACGTAGTGGAGCGAATTCGGCCGAATGTGATCGAAGCGAATTACGGAGATGACCGAAAAGCACCCAGGTTCGATCCGATCTACTTCGAGCGAATGGATATCAACAATGGAGCCGGATTTCATCTGGTACTGTCCAATGTGACTATTAGGGGAACGGGTGGATTCGTCATCAAGAAAATCCGGTTAGTGTGATTGAGGTGTTAGGAAAAAGTGGACCTGTGATGTTAATCTTATCTGATTTCCGGTGTTCTAGATATGATCAATCAGCGAAGAGACTTGATATTGCTTCAGTTATTCCTGCAATGAACATCGTCGGACAGTATAATCTCAACATGAACATTTTGCTTTTGCAAGCCTCTGGGAAAGGAGATTTCCGTTTACAATTGAGTAAGTAGCTAGCTTTCACTGGCAAAAGGATGTGATCACAGATTACAATAAGGAACACCGGGGCAAGTGGGACCGCGTGGTAAGTGAAAACTAGTCCCGTGCGCCGCCGCCGGCATTTTTTTCACACGCCGCTGACGATTTTTAGTCGGCGCGTCGCCATGATGATTTTTGATACGCTGTCAATGTAATATTTTTATACTTTTAAATTTTGAAAGACGCATTTCTCGCCAACCATTGCACATAATAAAACACAAACAAGGTCAAAGCTTTAAAAAATACCGTAGACTCCCGGTAATCTGATCATTTTTAATCTGAGCACTTATCTGCACACCATGCAAATTATTGCTCAAACGACATTTGGCAGATGAAATGGAGAAAAGCGAAATGGAACGCAGAATCAAAACAAACCAGCAAATAAGGATACCAGAAACTCCTTTTTCTGATGGTCATAGGGTTACTAGAACTGTTTCCGCATGTCCGGAGTTTCAAGCACTTCCACTCTATGCTCATGGAAGTCGAGAAAATCTTAAACCAGTAAAATTTTCTTGACCGGGGCGTAAATCGAAACCACCGTCATCGGTTTGGTGAAACCGCCATAATTGCATAAAATTTTCAATAAATGTGATTTTTTTTAAACACACGTACCCAATCAGAACCTTTAAATTTAGTTTTCTGAATACCCGTACCCGATCCAAACTCGTCGGGTACAGGCATGGTTTTAGTTTTGGATAAACAAACCCGTTCCTGATCATCTACAGTTCAATGAACATATGTAATTATTGTTTAAGGTTTCTGTTTTTGTCAAGGCACATGATATGTGTTATTTGTTGAAGAAATTCGCCTAAGAACTTGTTTTGATGCTCAAAATCATTACATTCTTAATTGGATAAGATGCTAGAAATACCCGTACCCGACCTGGCCCGAAAATTTAGTTATTTGCATACCCGTACCCAACCGAAACCGTAGAGTACGGGTACGGGTCGTGTTTCGGATAAAAATACCCGTACCTAACCTTCTCTACTCAATAGGCTATTTAATCTGGAATGATTTTAATTACTGAAAAAAAAAACTACCTTAGGAAATAGTTCCGTTGTTTTGATGGTGTTTTCGGTAACAAATTAAAAATTGAGTTATCTGTAACAAGTCACATATACAGTAATACAATTTTTGGGTTAAATTCAACATTGAAATGTGACATTTTGACAGCCACCATAGTGATAAGCCGATACACGCCGCCGCCGAGACAAAAATGGTTTTCACGCCACCGCCATAAAAGGACCGACGCACAGGTCTAGTGGAAAAGGCCATTTTCAAATCTAAATGCTGATATGTGGGCACGATAAAACGGGAAACTCCATAGAGCCAATGACTTCGTTCTACTGATGACGTCATTGGTTCTATGGAGTTGCCCACTATTTCTGCATTAACTCGGCTATGATTTCGGCTTCGTGCTGTAACCGGGTGAAGGTTAGACTAATAGATTATTTCACGGAATCTATGACAAAAGATCCTTCCACAGATATCATCTAATCTAATCTAATCTAATATTACAAACGCAGCCAGTACGAGAAAGCATCCTGGAAAATGATTCGGATGGATAACGCCTAATCATTTTTTGGTCAACATTGATGTTTGCAGCATATCTGAGATATGACACAAACATCAAAACGGCCAGGCCTACTGCGTTGCGAAGATAATTCTATGAAATCATTGTAGTTTAAGTAAATATATTTAAACAGCGATGCATTTCGTGAATCTACAGGGGTGGAATGTCCACCTTCATACCGTTCCAAACGCTCCGTGTTATGTAAGAGTAAATTTTACAATCATATGTGATGTAATGAATGGTTTATATATTATAATATAATTGAAGGATGTAACCAAATTCCTCCAATGTTCCCAAATTCCTAATTTATAGGGGAAATTGATGTAATGTCAGCAGTGGCGCCTCGTGAGAAGATTCACTAGTTGTGCACCTATTTTATTTATATTTTGTCTGTAACAGTAGAAGCCAATTTTGATGCAGAATTTTTTGCCTCTTAAATTTTATGAAATATAAATTTCACTTTTTGAAAATTCGAGACTGTGCAGTGCACGAGGTGCACATATGGACGAGACGCCACTGAATGTCAGCCCAAATGCCGCTAATTTGGGCCCATACATAAATTCAACAATCGACTAAATTTTGAATAGCGACCAAAAATATCCATTAGTACCGTCCCAACGACGCGTTCATCTAGATAAATTTGATAAATAGCAGATTTTTAGCGATGGGCCCAATCTTAGATCCATAGGCCAACATTAGAGCCATTTCCCCTAGATAAAAATGGAATGATTTCACCAAAATTAGTCTGCTTGACTGTGATCGATCATCAACTTTTCCGGACTTCTGAAAACTGCTACTAAATGTCACAAATGGAGCATTGATAGACGAGTGGGTAAAGCATTGGTCATAAATGTTTAAACAATTCAACTTTTGGTTATTAACTACGATCTATGCTCTCGGAACTCGGGAGAGCTTGGGATTAAATGCATGATATTCCACTCATCAAGCAAAAAACGATCCCAGGGTCATCGAGCTTGTAAAAACCACAACACTCCACGACAAAATATGATTAAGTTTTCACTTGGTATGTAATGAACAACAGAGATTCGTGATTGTTCATTTAGCTTCAGCGTTTGATAGCCAATATCAAATATACGAATGGTACTGCCTATGGCGCCTACGACGACGACAACAGCGAACTTGGAACCTACCATTTGTCAAAAATACAACACCCGGCACCTCCACTGGATGTTCATGTCCGCTATCTGGAACTGTTTACAAAATAATAATAGCAATTACCTGTGCCGTAATATTTCCTTTAACGAAAACAAATTTTCTTTCATGGTAATGGTCATCTGGGAGGAGGTTCGTGTCTAGTGCTTTCCCCAGGAACCGTTCGCGGCCACCAGCTACCGCCCGTTCAGTCTTAGGCGTATGCAGCGAGGCATCCTTCAGATTGCTCGCAATGTTCGACACCGGCGAGAAGCCAGCAGCCGAATCACCACCAAAACTCGCGATCGACTCATTATCAGCACTTTCCCGAGCTAATTCACCAACCGGACCGGGTTCAAACTCGCCGACGACCCGACGAGACTCTCGATAGTGTGGCATCCGAACTCGGAGAATCCATCATAGCACAATCTTAAGAACACTTAAAACTCAATTACAGCACAAACAAATGATGTTTAATGCAAACAATTCCATAACCACGGAAGAAAAACACGCAGCAAAAATAAGCACGTCAGATTTCAAGCGCGGCTTACTGTGATCTTTCGTTAAATCTCGATAACTTTTTCAAAGGGACGTATCAGATTTTGTAAACAATGCATTTGATCGTCGATTTGGCGTAACTGGTAGCTCGCCCACGCATGTTAACACTACCATCAGATAGGGGAAATTTTCCCCTACCTGTTAGTGGTGTTAGTAAGCGTGTGTGAGCTACCAGTTACGCCAAATCGACGATCAAATGCATTGTTTACAAAAACTGATACGTCCCTTTGAAAAAGTTATCGAGAAATATTCTTTGTTTCTATCACTCATCACTATTCATCATGACAAAAACTTGGACTTTAAACAACATCGAAAGGCTAGTCAAAAATTGACCATTTTGCGGTGTTAGTCTAACTTTGTGAAAAATCGTTTTACCCGTAAATTTTCTAAATTTAAAAAAACTGTAATTTTTTACAAAAACAGTTTCTTTTTGTATCTTTTTCCATTATTAAGAAAAACGCATTTTTTTTTCGGGCGGTAAGCTACCCTTAATATCATAATTAACTTCAACTTCACATTCCAGATGACACCATTGGCAACCTGAAGATGCAATACCGCTTGGTTCCTAGAGACGGCAAGAGCTTCGTCCAGTTCGATCCGATTGATTTGAAGCTGAAATTCCAGAAAGCAAAGTTCCACTTCACCGGCCTATTTAACGGGGATCCGTCACTCGAGGAGTTTGGCAACCGGGCCATCAACGATAATCCCAACTTGATTCTGGACGAGGTGAAATCTAGCTTCGAAAAGAACCTGGGTCAGGTGTTTACCGATATCTCCAATAGTGTCGTGGAGGGCGCGGAGGAATCGGAGTTGCTGCCCCCGTAAAGAAGTGTTCCTAGTGATAGTTTATGAAAAGCATTAATGTTTCCATGATAATGATATTAAATGTTGTTTCTTTATTATAAATCCGATACTGAAAAGGGGCTGTTCCTTGGGCTGTTCACAAACTTCTTAAAACAGTGTTTGAGAGAATTCTGCGTTTATAGTCAAACAAGTTGTTTTCATTGTTGTAGGCAACGTGATATTTATTGGGTGCCTTGCTTTTTCCAGCTTACATAGATTGACGACCGCTTTTTGCAATGTAAATTAATGTGTCGAAAAGAGCTGGGTTTCAAATCATCGAAAGTTCACTAAAGTAAATTGAACCTTACAAACAGAAATTTGTTCAGATGACTGAAAGAGATGATGACCAGTCCTCTCGTCATTTGATCTCAAGCAGCATATGCTTTCTCTCCGTGGGTTCCTTGTTAAGTAACATTAATTTTTAAAGTAATTGCCGATTCTTATTTTTTTCGTGTCTCTTCACGGAATTATTATTTTTTTTTCAGGGTTGAGCGGTATACATTAAAATTAAGCATTAAACAAATTGCGATTGATCCGAAATGATCGGTTTGATGAGTCATTACAAAGATAGCATAATTTGTCTACCTTGTACTAACTTGAAAACTAGTGTTATTCTTCACGAATTTCTATAGAATGTTATCATGAATTATTTATTTATCACCGTCTTCAACTAGTCGTACAGACTGAACTATTTTACTTATAAACTAGAAATTACTACTAATCCTTTCTAAAAACGTTTTTAGTCAAGTTAAAATCGAATTCGTCACAGACAACATTGAACAAGCGAAGACACGAATCGAAAGGGTTGTTGTAGCCGTAGTTTGTTCTGTGGTATGGGACTGCCATTAAAGCTGAGCTCCGAAACCGTCGAGGAGGAATGTTGAGCGGGATCTGTGCGGGAAGTTCAGGGCAATCTATAGATTCTCCAATGACATCGAAAATAAATAGCCGCTGCATCGTTACTCGTCTGACAGATAGTGGTTCCAATCCTATGAGCTTGCATCGGTCAGAATAAGGAGGAAGATTGGTCGGATCGTTCCAAGGAAGTTGTCTCAGTGCAAACCGTAAGAACCTTTTCTGCACCCGTTCAATCGTGAGAACATGAGCTACATAATAAGGGGACCAAATCGGAGCAGCGTACTCCAGAATGCTACGAACCAACGAGCAATAGAGAGTTTTTAAAGCGTGGATGCCGGTGAACTCGGAAGCGTGGCGACGGATGAATCCCAGCACAGAAAAAAGCTTTGGCAGTGGTACTGCTCACGTGTTCGTTGAATCTGAGCCTCGAATCGATGGTAACGCCAAGGTCACAGATGGACGACACACGTTCCAATGATGCAGTTTCCATTCTGTATTGATGAAGAATGGGTGTTGCCACTGGTGTGAATTCCACTTGGTTTTTTCGGACCTCTTTATAGCAAACTCTGGTTTTTCCGTAGAGTAAGCTTTAAGCTACAAAATGTGATTTTTATTAGCTAGATTATAATAATAAATTGCATGAAACTTACAGATTTTAGTCCATTAATATTTAAGAATTCACGTCGTAGCTGATTGTTTGTGTTTGCTGTTGGTGTCTAAATTTTATCGTATTGTACATTAGATTATAAGTTTAATTAATCAAATATAATATAAGTTTACCTCCAATTCAATTAATATAAGTAATTTTAACTTCGTAAACTAGAATTTTAATAATACAATTTAGGATAAAGTTTTGTGAACGCACATTTTAATTCGTCTACTTTGTGTCTTTGTTCACTTGTAAACAGTCATTGTCCGCTTGTGCTCTTTGTCCGGATTGAAGGTTTACATCAACGTCAAAGCTATCCGTTATCCGTATTCAATGCCTAACGTTACGGATCGACGGTGCAAGGTGTGTGCCTGCAAGGTGAGGACTGTCGCGAACATCCCCCGACCCGTATTGCTGCAGACTTCCATCAGCTATACCTCCATCCATCACGTCCAACACTGCCAGCTTTGTTACTGGTCGCCGGAACACGCCACTGCCTGTCTTCACATCAACGCTTCGAATCCTTCCATCTTTCCCTGGATGTGTCTTGAGGACCCTGCCACGAATCCAGCTGTTCCGTATAGCTTCATCCATGACGATCACCAAATCTCCCGCTTGCACTGGTTTGACTTCGATGAACCACTTTGTGCGGCGACTGAGGGTAGGGAGGTATTCCCTAATCCACCTTGTCCAAAACCTGTCCAAACAAGCCTGAACGTGTCCCCAGTTGGTTCGGAGTGTAGTTGCAACGTCCACAGGCTGCTTTGCTGGTTGTACGACACCACTGGAACTCAACATCAGAAAATGGTTGGGAGTCAGAGCTTCCTCATGTTCTGCGCTCACGGGAACGTACGTCAATGGCCTGGAGTTGACCATCGCTTCTACTTCGACCAATATAGTGCAAAAGGATTCCTCGTCCGGGTTCCTGGAGGTAGAGAGAGTGCCTAGACCGACCTTGACGGACCGAACTAAGCGTTCCCACGATCCACCCATGTGTGGGGCTGACGGTGGATTGAACCGCCACGACGTATTCCGATTGGTGAAGGTATTGGCCAATGAAATGTTGATTTGTGCTATCTCCCGCTTCAAATCGTTGCTTGCACCTTGAAAGTTCGTGCCCTGATCACTATAGATCTCTTGCGGAGCACCTCTGCGAGCAATAAACCGCCTCACCGCCATTTTGCAGGATTCTGTAGACAATGAGTTCGCTACTTCAAGGTGGATGGCTCGTACCGTCTGGCAAACAAACAGAGCCACCCATCTCTTGGCACTTGCTCTGCCAATCCGGATAAGGAACGGTCCACAATAATCCACACCCACGAAGGTGAACGGTCGAATGTACGCTGCTAGCCTGCATTCTGGAAGCGATGCCATACGAGGAGGTTGAGGAGTTGCCTTTCGAACGACGCACCATTTGCACGTCTTTGCTACTTTCCGGACCGCATTCCGCAAACTGGAGACATGAAACCTCTGTCTCACCTCGTTCACCACAGTCTCAGAGTTGCCGTGACCGTATTGTCGATGATACCAGTTCAAGATAAGGCCGGTGACGTAGTGGTTTTTCGGCAGAATAACCGGAAATCTAGCGGCGTACGGTGCATAATGAGCGGCACCAATACGCCCATCCATCCGCAGCATTCCTGCCTCGTCCAACATCGGAGACAACTTGCAAAGTGGACTGGTTCTCTCGAGTCTGGGGGCTTGTTCCGGAAATCGTTGATGCTGTTCTTCGACTGCGATCATTTCGTCGGGGTACGTTTCCATTTGTATCCAGCGAAAGAGTGTTTCCTCCGCGGACTGCAGCTCTTCCTGAGACAAATATTCACCGGCTTCTGTTGGATCTCCACGCACCTTTCCGGAACAGTTAGCACAGAAGCGGAGCATGTACGCGGTTGCTCGCAGGAGTCTTTCCCACTTGGAGAAACGTCTCTAGTCGATCAATGGTTCGGTGATTTCACGATGATGTGCGTGGACGGTTCGTAATTCCTCTGGTATGTTCGGTTCTGGCAGCTCGTTGCCTGGCCATTCCGATTCAGCCTTGTAGAGGAACTCCGGACCCGTAAACCACCGAGAACCGTTTTTGAAGCATGGACCTTCTCCCCATTTTGTCGCCTCGTCAGCCACGTTCAGCTTTCCAGGAACTTTCCGCCATTCGCCCACACAGGTTTCGCTCAGGATTTCACCGACTCTCACTGCAACGAACTGTCGATATCTACGTTGGTCCGACTGGATCCAAGATAATACCGTGCTTGAATCGCTCCAGATCATTCGACGTCGTATAGGTAAGGTGTGGCTCTCTTGAACAGACTTCATTAGGCGACTTCCAAGAACTGCCGCTTGCAGTTCCAGCCGTGGAATGGACAGTGGTTTCAACGGGGCTACCTTGGACTTTGCTGCCACCAATGCGCAGCGTACTTGTCCTTCATCGATGATGCGAAAGTATGCCACGCAAGAAAATGCCACCAGACTTGCATCCACGAAGACATGTAATTCTATGTTGTCTAAGCCGGCACTGCTGTATCCTGGGAAGTAGCATCGCGGCACTGTTTCTCGATCCAGTCCTTTAAGTGCTTGCACCCACTGACGCCATCGACTGCAGATTTCCTCTGGAATTCGCTGATCCCATCCTATCTTGCTTCTCCATATGTCTTGCACCAAACACTTCCCGTGAACAACGTATGCTGCTACTAGTCCCAGTGGATCAAAGACGCTCATGACGACTCGAAGAACTTCTCGCTTGGTCGGAATCATATCGCCACTCAACAACTGCGCGACGTCTTCCCGCAAGCAAAGTCTGAATGTGAATTCGTCGTTGATGGGCTGCCATCGCATGCCGAGGACTCTTTCGATCCCTGTAGACTTGTCCGTCGCGAAGCTTTTGCATTCGCTTGCAGAGCTTTCCCCGACCCGTCGAACAACTTCTTCCGAATTCGACAACCAGTTACGGAGCTCGAACCCAGCCTTTGCATGAACTTGCTTAACCTCTGACGCTATTCGGATTGCCTCTTCTTCGGTGTCCCTACTGTCGAGGTAGTCATCGACGTAGTGGTTGTTGACTATTGCTTCGACGGCTTCTGGAAATTCTATTCTGTTCTCCTCAGCATTCCGGTTCTTTACGTACTGCGCCAAGCATGGTGAGCACGTTGAACCGAAAGTGGCAACATCGATCACGTAGACTTCGACTGGTAGTGATGAATCATCATGCCATACGAAGCATTGCGATTGACGATCCCAGGCGCGAATGAGAAGTTGGAAAAACATTTCCCTAACATCCCCTACCACAGCTACCTGCCGCTGTCGGAAACGGTGTAGAACTGACTTGAGGGATGTTAGAAGATCGGGTCCTTTCAGAAGCATGGAGTTTAATGACACGCCTTCCACCTTCGCTGCCGCATCCCACACCATACGGATCTTTCCTGGTTTGTTTGGGTTGATAACCAATCCCAACGGAAGGAACCAGGTTCTCCGCGGATCAAAGTTCGCCAGTTCCTCCGGTGTCGCCTTATGGATGTATCCTTTGGCCTCCAGGTCAGCGATGTGTAACTTCACTTTGTTGTAAAGTTCCGCATCTGCAGTCAGTTTACGCTCGAGACACTTAAGCCGCCGCTCTGCCATCGGGCGGCTTTCGGGAAACTCTATACAGTCATAACGCCATAACAAACCCGTTTCAAATCTCCCAGATGGTGTACGAATCGTGGTTTTCTCCATGATTTCCCGTGCCCGACGATCATCATCTGCTTCGACTATCGGTGCGACCTTCACACCAGTACTTTCAACTGTGAAGAACTCCTCGACGAGATCATGTAGTTCACGATCGGCTGATCCCGAGCAAACGTGCAGAAGGCGATGTTCTGGTGGATCATCAAGGCCTTCCACGTTCCCATAGACTGTCCATCCTAGCTTCGTTTTCGTCGCAACTGGCTCCAGAGGTTTGCCGATCCGCTTCTTCAGTGTCACCATCAAGTCGGTATTGTCTAAGCCAATCAGGATACGTGGAACTGCTCCGCTGTAGCTGTTCACTGGTAGCCCCCGAAGATATGGAAATTGTTGTTCCATTTGTTCGAAGCGAAGAGATTGTGGAGGTAGCCCGAGACTTTCAACCGTTCTTACTCGCTCTAACATATATCGCTTGTCACCGCTAATACTGGAGATTCCCAACTGTACTACCTTGGATTCCGATTCCGTGCGTGTAACATTGTTTGTCCACTGAAGGCAAAGGGGTTCAATCACACCGTCGATTCCGAGCTGATCCGCAACTCCTTGCTCCATCAACGTAAACGACGACCCGTCATCCAAGAAAGCCAATATGTCGATTGATGAGTCCTTACCGTACAACCGCACTGGCACAATCCGGAAGAGAGTAGACCGCGAGCCTTGACGGTGCACATTCACCTTCGCAGTTGATTGAGAAGAGATTTCTTTGGTTGCTGGAGTCTCCGCCTTTTCTGAATGCAACAGACTATGGTGCTTTAATTCGCAGCCATTCTGTCCACATAATGGTGCCTTGCAGGGCCATTTTCCATGGGATGCCAAACAGCGTCGACACAGATGTAGCTGCTGGACTAATTTCCAACGCTCATCGATGTTGCTCTTCTGAAACTTGTAGCACTCTTTCAGCTTATGACCATTCTTCTGACACACTGGACATGGTTTCGGCTGAACTGGACCTTTTTCCACAGTGTTGACGTTGCGCTTCCATTCACCTTGCACCTTTACTCTATCACCATCATCCGTATGAGTGTTCAGGAAACCCTTTTCTTTCCCTTTCGGTTTCTCCGACTTCGAAGCTGCTGATGAGCGTATCGTTTCGAAGTCACTTTGAAACGTGACGTTGCTGGCAGCAGAGACAATTGTCGACATGAACTCCCCGAAAGCACGCAGATCTACAACAGGAATTCGATGTTGGTGAAGAGCCCAATCAAGTTTGACTCCCGCCGGAAGCTTGGTCACCAGCTCTTGCAACAGAGTCGGGTTTGACAGATGGTTCTCCATACCCAACGAGCACAGATGACCACAAAGATTCTGCACTACGAGACCGAAGCTGATAATACTCTCCAATTTGTCAGCCCTTGGTGCGGGAGTGGATCGAACTTTAGTGAGAAGACTGTTCACGACCAACTCCGGCCGACCGTACAATGTTCGCAAAGTTTCCATTACTTGCGGGACGGAAGATGGATGCAGAAGTTGATAGCTCACCGCACTAAGAGCATTGCCCTTCAAGCAACGCTGTAACCGCATCAGATTCTCTGCATCAGTGTAGCCACACATTTGGGTTGAGTTTGTGTAGCTACTGAAGAACAAAGGCCAATCCAATGGATTACCATCGAAGTGAGGAAGTTCCTTTGGCACGACATGCCGGGCAGCAAGTTGCTGGGCATTCGGACCACATATCGGAACGTTTGGTGGAACTACTGGCATCCTTGGAGGAACTACTGGCATCCTTGGCGGAACTACTGGCATCCTTGGCGGAACCCATGGAGATGGAATTGGATTAGGGTAACTAGGAATAGTCGTCACTATGGGGTGTGGTAGAGGCACACTGGAAGGTGCTGATGAGAGAACGGTACCCAAAGCACTACTTATTCTAACGTGGGAGTTGTGGGGGATTGTTTCAGGGGTCGAATTCAACAATGGTTCCCTGAATCGTGGAGTGGGCACTTGATTTGCCGAAAAAGAATCTAGCAGCTGGCTTGACCTACCTTCCCACGGTACCCTACCGTGTGAACTTGAATCAGTTACAGCTGGAATTTGAGTCATCAGAATATCTCGATCCTGCTGGGACCGAAGTTGATTCGCTGACTGCCGTTGAAGATCGTCCATCTGTTGCTGCAAATCGAGTATCTGTTGCTCCAGTTTCCTCTGGGCCATCACTGCGTTCGACGAGATTTCGGAGAAAGTCTTCGCAAGTTCCTCTTGTTTTGAAGTTGGTGGAGAGATCAAATCGCAGAATGCAGGTATTGGATTACGAACGGGAGCCGGAAATGTATCGACGTTTGATACTGGAACTGATGCGCCGACCGCCTCGAAAAATTGGCCACTGACAGGGGCTGGTACTCCACCTACTGCGATGTCGTACAGCGAGTTTTCATCCGTATACCTGACCTGTGCTTGTCTCGATGAAATGCTTGTTATGACTGGTGTGGTTGGGTTCCTACTGGTAATTATGCTCCTTGCAGTGGTCCGTTTCGGGATCGTTCCAGTATACGATGTGGTAACTACTGGGACTTCAACGTTCCCAGCACAAGCTGTCATGATCGTTTCTCTCTGGTCTTCCAACCACCGATGAACCGTGCTTTTAGAGCTACGATTACTACGTAGGCTCCTCACACTCACATTGTCGTCACCTTCATTCACGGACTGCAGAAGGTTGTACTTCCTGCCGATGAATTGCCTCTCCAATTCCCACCGTTGCTGATTCGCTTTCCGCTTGCTTTCAAGCTCTTGCTGCATCGATTTTTCTCGTAAAGCCTTCTCCTGCTCCTCAATTTCCCGCATGAGCCTCTCCTGGACCCGCTTCTCTTCCTCTATACGTTGCATTTGAAGTTCGACCCTTGCTTGAATGGCACTAGTGGTCGATGATTTCCCGACTTGCGAGGAGACAGGCGAATGACGATGTAGACACTGGGTACAACAGAAGCTTCGATCCATCACGGACTCATCAACCCCGACGCAGATAGAGTGATACCAGATTTCACACGAGTCACACTTGACCATCAAACGGTCCGTCACACCTGATCGGTCGCAAGCGGGACATTCGGTTTGCAATGCCGAGTCTTCCGATGCAATGATTCGCACTGAACAACAGGCGCGGTTAGTTTCATCCGGCATAGTTCACAACAATAATGTGACGAAGTTGAACAAAGTTCGAGTGAATAATCACAGCT